TCAATGTCTCAGTATCGGACGCAGTCGAGATCTACGGCATTTTTGTAACTGGTCAGAATCAGCATGCATTGCAGACCGCTCTTACAGGGGACCTACCAGGCAGACGCGAAGTCGGCCGCCACGGACAAAGAGAGGCATCCTGGATGGTAGAGAGTAGGCGGATCTCGATTGCTTAGCGTAGATGAAGCTCAGACTCGAGTTGAAATTGTAGAATGAGTCGAGTGAAGTAGTGAGAATAAGCCGGAACGCAAAGAAGAGCTCCAGGGAAACAGTGCCGAACAGCGTAAATACTACGCGAGAGGCGATGTACGAGGCTCCGAGGAGCTGGAAAGAGGGGAAGGTAAGAGGTGGTAGGTAGGGAAATGTGGCTACCTTGGCGATTGAGCGATTAGAAAGGCATTGGTGATAAGCGCATTTTTAGGAGGTAGGGGCCGAGTGAAGGAAAAGAGAGAGGGATGAAGGAAGAAGTCGAGAGTACAAGAAAGCGACGTTGGAGATGAGCGGCTTGTATTTATGTTGCGGGCGCAGCCGGGCCGTGCGAGCACGCGGATCTGACGTAGCACCATACCCGATCAGGAGGGGCGCCAAACCCGGCGGGTGCGACAGCGTGTTCTGCATTACATTATATTTAACGTGAGCTCTTATGAATGCCCCTTGATGATTCTGCAAAGCAGAGTCCCTGAGTCCACTTGGGTTGACATTTTCTTCGACTACCAGCATCTTCCACTTTAAGGGATATTACTCGAGCCCCTATGTATGGCCCCTTCATCATTCTGTGAGACAGAATCCCTCCACTCACAATCGAACGTACCTAGGTTCCCAATTGCTTCGTCTGGCCAACAGTATCTTTCACCTGGTTTACTGGACATGGTGGATACGTGATCTTGACTGTGCCTCGGTATAATCCATGGCGCAGCTCCCGACGACATTCTCCGGATGGTTTCGTTTTCTCCTTACAGTAGGTACCTACGCGCGTTCATATGATGAATACGAAGAGTTCCCAAATTGCTTCACGTCTACCTATGTGTGTAACCACAACATGTTTGTCGCTTTTTGCCGTCTTCAAATCACCCCAGAATCATGATGTATATTGCCCGGCGCCAACGCCACCATAGGCTTTCACCCTGGAACGTACCTGCGCTGAATACGAGATTCTCCAACAGCTTCACAACTATGTGTGTAACCCCAACATGTTGGTTGCCTTGACGTCTTCAAATCTCGCTGAGTCATGCGCTGTATTGCTGGGTGCCAACCACCCGCTCTCCGACCACATTCGTAATCAAGAATCCCATGACTTGGGTAACCGGGCATTTACCCCGGATCTCTTGTGCAAATTGCAGGGCGCATGCCGCTGTCTGGGTTTCTTGACATTTCTCTTCAAGTACCTAACCTGGAAGTCGTTGGAAAAGGCAAGCGGGTTGGAAATCCTCGTTAGTTTGGCAAGAGCGCCTACGAAGTTCAAATCACGGAAAGGCAATCGCAGGCGGTCCTCCTGCTCCTGCGCCTTCCTCAGGCTTCCTGACAAGGTTCAACATTGTGGCCAGTGTTTCGTACAACTGAAAAGCAGCACTAAAATGGCTCTCTCAACCACCGCAAGTTTCACAACATCCTTTACCGCTTCGCCGACCGCGACCTTACCCATCGTCGCCTTCACAACTCCCTTCCCTCAGCCCATCAACTGCGCCCCTGAGTCACTCCTGACGACAACCGTGAGCCACTACAGCGGCTTTGGAACCACAGAATCCGAAACCTTCCTTCTTCCCGACACGTCTGATGCGCGCTACACGGCCTGTCTTGCCCCGGCTGGTAGCCAGTTCAGTTTCAGTCCGGCAGTATGTCCAGATGGATGGCCGGCATGGTGGCTAGGATCGATGTCGGCGCTGTCTGGCACGGCGACGACGGCGACGCCGACTCACGTCTCGACGGCCTACTGCTGCGCGCCGGGCTACTCAATGCCATACGAAAACTATCCCGACGACTCATCACCCTCGTGTGAACAGGCCTTCCTCCAAAGCACCAGCTCCACTGGCGATATGTTCCCCTCGACGTGGGCGCTGAGCGTGGCCAAAGTCCCGGCCTGGCACATATCGTGGCAGCCCACCGACCTCCCGACGCTGAGCCCCCAGCCGCCGGCGATCGAGGGTGACAGGATCACGAGATGGGTTCCCGGGTCGGATCCCGAGCGGGAGCCGCGGGACAACGCTTGGGGTGGAAGAAGCTTCAACCCCGGTCTGTTCTACTTTCTGGTGGCCGGTATTCCGATAATCATAGTCGTGGCGATTGTTGCCTGTCTCACTGGTTGTTTTCACCCTTGCAACCATTGCCGCTAACCTGACAAGGGACGGCGAGGTAACACGGAGGTCGCATAGGACTCACCCAGTGGGCAACAGGCGGTCAGGTCAGTAGGGCCAGCCCAACAGTCAGTTTAATCTTGAAGTTATAGTTACTGGATGTATCATGAAGTTTCCATTCTGGCACTACTCAATGATGAGGCATCTGTTACATATGTCTGCTCAGATCCGTCCCTAGGTTTGCGGCCACTCAACCTAGGACGATATGTGGATCACCTCGCACTCAACTTCGGACCTTACTGTGCTGTCAGCACGCAGGAGGAGCGTGGGCTAATAAGGATAAAGAACCTGTGTCAGCACGGTGACGGCAACGATGGCTCTCTCGGCGGCTGAGCTGGCGGCAGAATTCACGGTCCATTTTCTGCTGATGCCAACTCAACCCCCGTTGGGCAGTCTGATTTACTCCCCGAGCCCTTCGAAGCTCCGGTGCACCCAATCGGGGTTGTAGAATGCCGAACAACTCCACTCCCGACAGTAGGGAAGCTGGTTCGGGTCGCAATATTGGGTTGCATACCCCGGATTGATACCATACGCAGGTATTAACACCCCATCTTGAACAGCCTTATGTTATAACATGGGCAAGCTGCGCCATGTCAACGCTATCAAATGCAGGAATTGACATGCTTTTGCATTGGGTTTCTTCTCTTTTGATGCAGGAGCCTACTTCGCGATGCGGATCTCTCAGCCCCTGATTTTCCTCTCTCCTGTCCTCGGCGTGGGAGCCCTCAACTTCCAATACGAAGCTACGCAATTGACGGAGCAAGAAATTGGAGACTTCTCAGCTATTTCCTTTGGGAATCTCTCGTCGGCCCCGTCCGCATACCAGGGACCAAGATGCAAAATTCAGCCCGAAGACGCAGACTGGCCTAGCGAGGAACTATGGGCCCGACTCAACACGACCGTGGGTGGCAGTCTGCTGAAGCCGTATCCCGTCGGTGCAGCATGCTATCCGGACCGGCCTGAGTACAACAGCACTACCTGCAGCTACCTCCTCGGCCCAGCCACGACGTCCCGCTTCTTCATGGACGATCCGCTCAACGCGCTGACAACATGGGGTGAGGGAGCTACGTGCCTGCAGTTGCACAATACGACCGGCAGGACCTGTACACAGGGCGGCTTCCCCGTTTATGTCGTGAATGCGAGCTCCGTCAGGGACGTCCAGGCGGCTGTGAACTTTGCTCGCAACCAGAATCTGAGACTGGTCATTAAGTAGGATATCTTGCGTCAAATCACACCTGCTGGCCGGCATTGACAATGAACCCACAGAAACACAGGACACGATTTCATTGCCAAGTCAAGCGGCCGCGGGGCGCTAAGTGTATGGACTCACTTTCTCAAGGGCATCGAGTTCCTCCCGGAATACAGCATGGACGAGTACAAGGGGCCCGCTGCGAGAATGAGCGCAGGGATAGAGGCCTGGGAGGCGCAGAACGCCATGGCAGACCAAGGCAATATCACAGTTGTGCTCTCGCTTGAGGTAACAGTCGGTAATGGCGGTGGCTGGGTGCTGGGCGGCGGTCACGGGCCCTTGACCTCCTTGCGTGGCCTCGGGGCCGACCAGGTCTTGTCGTTGAATGTGGTTACGGCCGACGGCAGGTTCGTTACAGCAGACTTGAACCAGAATCGGGATCTCTTCTTTGCACTCAGGGGTGGTGGCGGAGGTGAGCCAGCACCCTTTCATCCTTCGTCAAGGTCATTGCTGACATAAATGGCCGTCATCAGGCACGTTCGGCATCGTCACCTCCATGGTCGTCAAAGCCTGGCCAGAACGGACCAACATCGGCGGTCTGACGTTCTACTTCACCACCGGACCTGGCCAGGTGACGATCCCCAGCAGCCGGGGGTACCCAGCCGCGGCGCCGGTCCACGTGGACACTGAAACCTTCTGGAAAGCCTACCGCGCGTACCTGCTCTTTGCCAAGGAGATCGTCGACGCGGGCGGCTTCGGCTTCGGCGACGTCACCCCGCAGGGCAACGACACGTACGTGTTCGTGGGCACCATCACGCTGCCCAACTACCCCTCTGACAAATTCCGCGCGTTCTACACCCCTTTGTTCAACGCCCTGCGCGAGGCGGGCGTCAACGTGCGCAACCCCAACCACGCCTTCCTTCCCTATGCGCAGCGCGGCATCGGCGTGACGCCCATCTCGTTCCCCGGCGCGGCCGCGGATCGTCTCTTCATCTCCCGCCTGCTTCCGCGGGGATTATGGGCGAACACCACGCGGCTGGATGCCGTGGCGGCGGTCAACCGGCGGAATGCCGAGATGGGCTACCGCGTGACGACGCGCGCGTACGGCCCCTCAGGGGTTGTGGCGGGGTACCCCGGCAACACGACCTCGGCGGTCAACCCGGCGATGAGGGACATGGTGATACACTGTGTGACGTTCAAGCAGGAGCCGGTGGATGTGCTGCCTGCGGAGCAGTTTCGTGCTGAGCACCTCCGTCTAAGGGCACGTATTAATGAGCTCGTGGCCCTGACGCCGGAGAGTGGGACGTACTTTAACGAGGCTGATGTTTTGGAGCCTGACTGGCAGAGGAGTTTCTGGGGACATCATTACGAACGTCTTTTGAAAGTGAAAAGGGCGGTGGACCCCTGGCAGTTGTTCTGGGCGCCGAATACGGTCGGCAGCGAGGAGTGGGAGGTGGTGACGGCGGATGGGTTGCCGACGCAGAATGGGCCGCTATGTAGGAAGGCGGGTTAGATAGGCGCGGGAGGTAGTATGTAGTACCTGGAGATTTAGATGGGGTATACCGGTACGTAAGAGGAGCGCTAGTGCTGAGTTAAAACTTGGGTATGGCCTGGCTGCTCTGGATGGATTCATGGTTATGGCATCATTTATGGCCCAAGGAGTAAGAACTTGAAGCTCATGCGACCATTGGAGTCCATCAGCCAGGGTAAATCGAGCCCGAAGAGCCCCGGCCATGTACACCCAGCTCACCGCTTACGGATGCTCATCACTTGCCGACTCGGGATCTGGGCGTGATCCGCAAGCATTGATTCAATGTAACGTTAGTATTACAGGTGTCGTAAGCTCCACCTCCAAACATCAAAACTCTTCAAGTGCGGCAACGCCGTAGATGCTCTCAAGTCCGTCCGGAATCCGATACACAGCAGCAACGGACTCAGAAGCAGCCATGCCGCGCCAGGACGTGTACCATCTCCGGCCCCTAGGCTGGGAAAACGACCCAGACGAGGAGCGGTTCAAGGTGTCGACCCTTGATTACTTGACAGCTTGCACCTACAACAACTACGCCCTTTTTTTCCGGCTTGATGACGCGGAGAAGCAGAAGGCTGCGTCCATCTTGAAGGACGGCCTCGAGAGGACACTCAGTCAGGCACGCCATTATGTGGGCACTATCGAGAGAGATCCTGAGGGCGGGCACTCGTTTGTCAAGAAAAAGGACAGCACGGTGCGCTTCATTGTGCAGTGGCTCGACGCACCCGAGGACAGCGACAAGTACCCGTCCATGGAAGACATCGAACGGACCAACTACAGCGCCGTGACGCTGGGCGATCTCGATACGTGGAGTGTGCCGCCCATGACATACGGCGAGAAGGCCGAGGCGCATCCCGATAACAGGCCCGTCGTGTCCGCCTTCAAGGCCAACTTTGTCCGCGGCGGTCTCGTCTTCAACATGCACCATCACCACTACGCCAACGACGTCATGGGCTGGTCCGGCTTTACCCACCAGTTGGCAGAGAATTGCTACGCCGCCGTCCACAAGACCCCTTTCCCCGTCTGGGACCCGGCCTGCCTGGACCTCTCATGGTTTACCAGAAAGCAGGTGCCCCACGAGAACCAGGTGGACGGCCCTCCACCACCCGAGCGGCATCCCGACCACCAGGTAGGCCAGTCGCTGCTCTTCCACCTGCCCAAAAGCAAGGCCGCCGAGCTGAAGCGGTTGGCCACGCCGTCAGACGGGTCGTGGATCTCAAGCTACGACGCATTCTCAGCATACATCTGGCGTACCCTGACCCGACTACGTGCGCCCATCTTCAACCCAGACCCCTCATCGCACCTCTTCTGGGCCGAGGCCGTCGACATGCGACGGCGCATGCACAGTCCCTCCGTACCCCGACGCATCCAGCACAACGTCATGTTCGCGGCCACATCAAGCAGCGTCGCTACCGGGTTGGCGGGAGTACCGCAGTTGACCGTCGACGAGGTCGCTCACTCCGCGCCACTCTCCAAGCTCGCCGCGTACATCCGCCGGCTGACCAACAGCGTCACGCAAGAGGATCTGGACAAGACGCTCGACATGGTCGCGGCCGTGCGCGACAAGACCAGCCTCAACATCCGCGTCGACTCGTACCCGCCCATGTCGGTCCTGCAGACGGACCACCGCGATGCAAACATTGTGGCGGCTGATTTTGGGTTTGCGAGGCCGGAGACGTACCGGCACCTGCTGGATCGAGTTACGGAGGGTGTTATTATTATATACCCGCCCCGGAGCAATGATCCGGTTTCGGATGAGGGGCCGGAGTTTGCCATTTCCTATGAGAAGCGTCTCGCGCAGGAGCTGATTGATGATGTTGAGTTCAAGTGGTATTTTGAGTTTAGGGGTGTAGATGCTGAGGATGCTGGGAAGATTGCCCGGAATTAATCTGTTCCAAGATATCTCAGTAGCCTAGTAGGTAATGACAGGAAACTGTCTGTGTTTCCCGTTCATATTCGTCTGGTGGCTTAGGGGTGATGTACGGAGAGGAGCATCCAACAATGTAAACAAAGCCCCTGACTCAGGGGCTTCGGATCAATATATCTAGTGTATGGCACTATAGGATTTGCACATGAAACCGCATTCTCATTAACACGAGAGTCTCTAATAGGACACCATGTTCAGTTTCTAGTCAGATCGTAAAATCCAACACAGGCAATAATTCGACTGTGTGCTAAGTCCCGGCCTGTACCATCATACACTGGGTTCTATCATTCTATGCTGCCTCAATCGCACGGCATGATGCTAATGCTACCAAGTTCAATTTGACAAGGTGACCCGGACTACCTTACCTAGATACTTATGATACTAGTATATTTCTGTGAGCACTGCATGTGAGGGTAAGAAGTCTTTTTGACTTATACACTGAGCTGTCAGCTAGCACGACATTTCGAGTCCTTGAAAGTCCAGAGAGGTGTCCGGATGAGATATGCCAAGATAAATGGACTATGTCCTGAATTGTGACATATCATAATTCATAGTACGAAGCGTCCACTCACCTACATCATACATGTAAACTGGGTTATACAATCCAGGCCGAGGTATGGTCAATTGTCATACCTGAAACGTAACCTATGCACCCGAGCAACTTGTAGGTGGGTAATCATGGAAGTCAACTGCAGTGTACATACTTTTGTGTGAGGTGCTATTCGGTTTCCAAGCTTGCGAGTTGCGACTGACAAGAGGCCTTCACTCGGGCTGTATCCTCCACCAGCGCCCCGAACCGAGGTAAGATACGCTATATACACCTATTTTGAGAAAGCATATTACGTAACATTCAATCTCGCCCTCATGTTCGCGAGTGAAACAACGTCTTCGACGACTCCTGACGACACACTGCCCGCAGGGTTGGACATGAACTCGTCGCATTCTGCTGAGTGAAACAAATCGCAAAGATTAGCACAGTACGTGTAGTACAGTACCGTAGTTTATAACGGCTGAAACAACAACTTAACTCAGCGACAGACCACGACCCTCACCTCCCTGTGTTGGACTGTCGGGCCGCCTAAGCCGTGCCAAATCTCTCCACCAAGAAGCTAGTAGCAAGCCACCGTCGTAATCGCCCTTTCGCCCTACATGCCAAGCAAAGTGCCCTTTATGAATCCACGACACTAGCGTACACTAACGTTAGCGTACCGATATGTCGTGGTCGGAAGCGCTTCCGGTCCTGGCACCGTCCCATTCACATGCAAAATCCAGCCGGGATCATGGATCTCATCTCAGATGCGCGATATTGGTGGGGGTAAAAACTGTCCCATGGGTAGTGAAATTACAAGGTTACAGTCCCTGGTAAGTGGCGCGCGGGAAGGCTGAGGGAGAAAAAGAAAGAAAATGATTCGATTGCGCGACGTTTTACACCAACGTCACGATCCGGCTCAGGGACTTTGACGATTCTAGCTTTCGAGACCAGGACCGGGGTCATATACGCACGGAAACCCCTGCTGTTAAAGCCAACGCGCGCCATTTTCAGAATATCATCTACCTCGGGATTTCCCAAGTTGAGTAAGGACCCAGAGGGATGGTACATTGTGTGTGTGATGCAGTACCAACAAAGGAGGTTTCTAGAACGGGAACCGAGAGACCGGTCCCCTGACGCTGAACCCGCTGAACCGTCCCGGCTTCCAATCCGTCCCGGCCGGTGTTTCACGATTCCAGGTGTATCCCAGGAATGTAGTTTCAAGCAAGATGCATCTCAGAGATCACTGAAGAGCTTGTCACGAACTGCGGCGGATTACCGCTGCATGATTATCTATCCAAGACGTTCTATAGAAACAGCCACCACGTTTCAACCATGTTTTTTGGATACATGATCATCTAATATAATTGGTTAGTACGTGTAGCGGAACCGCTTGTTCTCCTTGTCCGTCATGCGAGCCCATGCCTCGGGGGACAGGGCAGCATCTTCTGTCTCAACATCCGAGGTGTTGTTGCGCCTCTTGTTCTGCCACACGTAGTAAAGAAATAGGAGGAACGTGGTGAAAGCGCAGCCTGCCTGCGTGCCCATGACAGCGAGCTTGGCCGGACGGTACTCCGGTGCGTCTCGGGCCTGGAAGGTCTGGGGGCCGATGATATTGCCGAGGGAGAAGGAACCGCTAATAATTGCGGCAGCGAAGGCACGCTTTGTAGCACCGCCCACGTTGGCTACCGTCCACTGAGCCGCTGTGTTAGTGCCGCCCGAAAGTGAAAGTTGAAGTTGATAGGAATGAACCCACGTTGTAGAAGACAGCAAGAGGGGCCACGACGGCGTTGACCAGGTAAATACCCGCCAAGATGCCGCTGCGGTTGGTGGTTGGAAGGAACGACATAAGGGCACCACCAATAATGCTTCACCGCGGGTTAGCACCTGAGCGTAGGGTAATGGATTTCGACCGAATACATACGCAGGGATGATGCAAGCAATGATCCACGCCCAACGGTGGGACTGCCGACGGATACCAATTCCGACAAACAGAGTAAAAAAGATGCTAACTGCGCCGGACGGCATATTCATCAAGGCAGCTTCTTTGGGCTTGTATCCGAGATTGCCGATTAGGGTTGCGGAGTAGCTCGTGACGACGCCACTTGAAACCGAGAGCTAGAAGGGAATGGTGTCAGCCAATGTTGAATGTAGGAGCAAACCGGATTCGGTGGCGTTGGTGTTGGCCGCATACCAGTATAACAGATAGCAGCAAAAGGTAGAGCTGAGGGTCCATCAAGGCCTCAACAATCTCGCTGGCACGGAACTTGCGGTTCTCGATGCCGGTCTTGTTGACACTGACGTGTTTCAGGAGCGCAACCTTCTCGTTATCCGAGAGCCAGCGAGCCTTCATAGGAGTGTCGGGAAGGAACAAGATGACTGCCGCCCCGGCAACAACCGTCAATACACCGAGGGTAACGAACATGGTCCGCCAGCCGGCAAGCTGGGCGTTGGGACCCATGTGCTGGAAGCCATACGAGACGGCGCCTCCCACGATCTGACCGAGACCGAGGCCGAGATACCAAAAGGAGAAGCGGGGTGCCTGCTCAGACTTGGTATACCACTGGCTGCTGATAAGCATCAGAGAAGGGGCGATGGTAGCTTCAAAGACTCCGAGAAAGACGCGAGAAACCAGGAGAGTCTGGTAGTTGTACGCGGCGGCACCACAAGCAGTAGCGGTGCCCCAGAGAATGACGTTCAGACCCAGCCATTTGGCGGCGGGAACAGCCTGAAGGAAGTAGACTGGAAAGCGAGTGTCAGCCACAAAGCTCAAATCAGTGTTTATGACATGCAAATGGGCCGGGATTTCTTACTGTTGGGAATCTCAAAGCACAACAGGCCAACGAACAGAAAAGTGGCAACATTGGAAAAGTCGTTGTTTTGAAGGTTTAAGTCGGTCCGGATGCCCATCACAGCAGCGTACTTGGTGCGGGTACAAATGTTAGCCGCTGCAGCAATGGTAAAGGCAGGTCTTGGGGAGACATACATTGAGAATGACTTTGTCCAGAAATTGCAGTGTGTAGCACAGAAACATCAGTGGCACGATGCGGAAATCGATCTTGCGCCGGAGGGCGGCGAGATCGATTGTCGCCGTTTTCGCGTCAGCATCCCGGTGGTTCTCGAGGTAAGTCCAGGCGGCGTCCATCCCGCCCGACGAAGCACTGGCACCTGCAACGTCGGTCACATTCTCGTCGACTTCGCGCCCTTTTGCGCTTTCTCTATCCGAGGCCGACATTTTTTCCCGGCCAACTGTCGACTCAAGGATTGCGCAACAGCGTCAAGGAAGGGACAGGATAAGGTGAGATGGTGAGGAACAACTGGAGGACAGGCCAGCGGGAATACTCAGCGCAAGTGGGCGGCAAGGTGAGAAGATGCAGGCACCACAGGGCAAATCAGAAACCACCGATTGGAAGGATCGTCGGAATGGTAAGGTGCCACTGAGATGCAGTACCGAAACAAAAAACCATAAAAACACCTCAGATGACGGGATCAACCTCGCAAAATAAATGAACTCTGAGCCAATGGGATCCAGAGTGAAAAAAGGGCGAACCAAGAGAGCTAAAAGGGAGAGGTGATGATAAAGGTGATGAGACACTAACTCGCCGAGATGCACCGGCCATTCTCACGGGCAGCAACGGCCCAGTACAATCGCGGCCAAGACGGGGACGAGGGCTCGCAAGACACCATCGATGCAACTGATTCGATAAAAGAGACAAATTGGACAAACGCTGCAACCTTGCTGAGGCAGCATACCTCGGGAGACCATACCTACAAGGGCTTTCATCATTTCGTGCAGTTTCACCCCCCACCATCTAGTACATACACGAGATACATTGGCTGAATTGGTTAAGAATTCGCGACAATTCGTTGGCGCTAGCTTAGTAACGTTTAACTCACTTGGTGTCCGGAACCTGGAAACGGTCCCCGTTCCGGTCTTGAACCCACCCATCTTCGGCACAGAGACGGCACAGCACCCAAACTTTTACATTGCAAGGAACCAGGGACGGAGCATCACTCGGTACCAAGCTGATATCATGCGAGAAATTCCCGCTTTCGACCGGGGTTCTCAGAACCCTGAACATGAAAGTTGGAACCATCTACGGTTCTACCTACTGTGTACATCACTTCACCCGTCGTACACCTTACCTTACCTGTAACCACCAAGACTCGAGGTTGCAACCCGAGAAAAAAGTTCCTTCCCTGCAAGGGCTTTCGGGACATGAGGTGGCAGGCGAGACGAGCGACAAGACTCGAGTCACTCGATGGCCTGCAGGAGGAATCAGCCAATGCAGCAGCCGACACAGGGCAAGTGCAGTCCAGTAAGAAGCTGGTGGCGCCTTTCTGGGAGAAGCCAAGTCGGTTCAAGCAAGCAATGCCAGTGGTCAATAAGCCCCTAAAATGCGAATGCAAGTACACAACTTTTACACCGCATGACGTGTGAATAAGGGAATTCTCCTCGGTAGAAAATGTATGTACTGTACCATGATCGGCTACTTTTAGATCAGGCCGTTCCCGTGCTCCCCTCGGGCTTTGAAGGGCTTGACGTGTCACCACACTCACTCATCCCTGGTTGAGGTGCGACATTGAAGCGAGGGATGAGGCTCGATGCTCTCATTTTCTTTTTTCCCTTTCCCCTGGAAGATGCCGGCCGTTGACAACGGTTCCAGGGATCAACAAGAGTAACTACTAACGCCTCGAGAATAATAAACATAATGGATCGGCCACCTCGATCTTGCCCCGCAATGTGTTGATCTTCCCCCGCGAGAACCTCCCGATCTCTCCATCTTTCGCTGTTCCCTACATACAGCGTGGACAGATATCTCTCTTTTACCAATCACTTTCTCCCTACGTTGACGTGTTCAGAGTCAAGTCGCTTGCCTCTCACTTCCATTGTTTCCCCCCCGTCCAGATCCGGTCCAAAGCCGGTGCCCGGCACAACTCGGTCACCATGACCTGGGTCGAGAACGCAACCCCTGAGGTGGACGCTCAGTCCGAATGGAGGACTATCATTGCCATCTGCGTCACCTTGTCCGTCTTCTCAAGTGTCATTGTGGGCGCGCGCCTGTGGATCAGGCACCGCAACCACGGCCTGGCCGCCGACGACTGGATGGCGACACTGTCGGCAGTGTTTGCCTTACTGTACTCGATTCTCTGCATACTCCGTACGTTTGTGGCCCTCAAGAGGTGGAAACGGAGTGCCTATTTCTGACCTTTATTCCCACGCAGAGACGAAATATGGGCTAGGACTTCCATTGGCCCTCCGCCCACCCGAAAACCTTATCCCATTCACGCGCGTCAACTACGGCGGCCGGCCGATATACCAGATGGGCATCAGCTTTTTCAAGGCTGCCCTGCTCATCAGCTATCTGCGCCTCTTCAAGGGAACTAGCCACGCCGTGTCCAGGAGGGTGGTTTGGATTGCAATGGTCGCCATCCTGGCCGGGCACCTGGGCTGCTCGTTGACTCTGATCCTTGCATGCAACCCAGTAAGTCACGACAACTCCTCGAGATATGTTAGTTACCTGTCACTCACATGGATCCAAACAGGTACACAAATCGTGGGAACCATTAACGCCCGGGACCTGTCTGGCACCTGGCCCCTCCTTCACGGCGTACGCCATTGTCACCATCGTCTCAGACGTCGTGGTAGCCGTCATCCCTATCCCCGTTCTGCTCAAGCTCAAAGTAAACACCGGCAAGAAAGTCGGTCTGATCGTCATCTTCCTGCTCGGGCTGTTCACGACGTTGTGCTCCATCTTCCGCTATCTCCAGATCGACAGGATCCAGTACGGCGACGGGAACTCCACCATGCTTGTTTTGTGGGGCGTGATCGAGTTCAACGTCGGGGTATGCCTCCTTCCCCTGAGTCCCTCCCCTACCTTTCGATCCACCTCCTAGCTTGACTCCACATACTAGCCTTGTACAGCGACTAACTCCGCGTTCCAGAACATGGTATCCTCACTCCCATTCCTAGCACCGATCTTTCTTCGCAAGGCGAAGGAATACACGTCCAAATACTCTGGCAGCGGACAACAATACGGAGCAGCATCGAACGGCGGGGCGCGCCGGTTCGGGAAATCCGGTGGCGAGGGGTACAAGCTCAGCAGCGTATCCAGCCCGCGCAAGGGCACATTTGCCACTGCCCACGGCCAAAGCAGCAACAGCGAAGAGAATATCCTCAAGAGCAGCCCGGACAACTCCATCGTGAAGTCGGTCAGCTACAGCGTCCAGGTAGACTAGGGACTGGAATCGTCTCAGAGGAAGGGCCGCAAGGACTGCTGCACCACCTCATGCAGTACCATCACGCGGGACAGGCTCAAATAATCGAGACGAAAGGCGGCGCAAGGGGTAGTGGATCTACTGTCTTAGATGGGTGGCTTGTTTGCTTTATTTTTGGGACCGGTTGCTGAAAAGTACCCACTATTGATACCACGGGACGAATCTCTTGTCTTTGGCTTGTAACTTATGCATCGTCATTGAATGACTGACGGATCTAACTGTGTTAACGATCTATCAACCAGTGCTCAATGCTGGGCGCCCATCCTGAACTGACGAAGGGATGATGGGTATTGAGTGTGGTCTAACATTTACAAAGCACCTTGGTGTCTCCCTCGACCGCGCCAAGGACAAATCCCCACTCCGGGCGCTCTCCCTCCGTCCCATATCTCGCTTCTCTAACCCTTTTTCATCTCGCAAGGTTACCTCCTTTAGCTCATGGAACTCTCATCAAACTCGATGTTCATAGCCCGCCTGCTCAGGAGCGGGCTCTTCTCGTTGATTCTGCTCCACTGGTGGGCATCGATGCACGCCTGGCGCGATGCTAAGACGGCTGGACGGGTTCGCGCTACCACCCGGTCCTCGTATCGGTCCAGCGCGGCCCGTAGATCACCCTTAACAGGGGAGTCCCTGGAGAGCAGTCGGAACAGGACATGGGACACAAAATCGAAAACGTCGACAATGGCGTGATTGGCGCCCTCGCCTCGATCTGGGGCATTAATCAGTCAGGACAAATAAAAACTCTCAGCACGCTTTCACCCCCAGCCCATTTGCCAATGTGCAATCAAGAGCACCTAGAAGGAATGGCTCGATTGGCGGAATGGTTTGGTTGCTTACACATTACCATAGGGTGAAACGCATCACCAATCAGGGCAACGTGCCCTGTACTTCGCAAATCCGTTGGTGGCGGCCAGTCTGACAGCTCGAGAAACTTGGCCTCGGCGCCGTCGGGAATGCTGTGCACCAATGATCGGAACGGTTCGGCCCAGGTCTCGGCGAATTTCTTGATCAGATCGATGCCGCCTTTGCTCGTGTCCGGAAAGGCGATGGGTGACGCCTGGTTGAAAAAGCCGTCGCGGACCGGCCATGATACGACAATCTGGCAGGTGTATCTGCTGTTGCTGCCTTCCAACCCCGCGTTGTTAGTGTTGCCAGGGGCGTCGAGCACTGCGTAACGTCAGCTTTCACATTCTTGTCAGAACCCAGCGAGCTTGCGGAGGGCCAAGTGCAAAACTTACCGCTGAAGTAGAGGAACGAGTCGTTCTCGGAAGCTGCTCCCTGGAAGAAGTAGGGGTCTAACGCCCGCAGAGGTTCTATCTCCTTCGGGGTGTAATCAACCTTGATGCCTATCAGGCGGACGGGGACTTGGTACTTTGGTTTGTCGGGGAATAGGGCGGTTCGGATGCGGGAGCTGCCGCCGTCACAAGCCGCCAGCAGACTCCCTTCCGCAGAAGAACCGTCATCAAACCGGACTGTAACAGATCCATCTTCGGCAGTATCAAAGCTTCTGACTGCCTTACGCCACTGGACAATGCAAAAGGACCAGAGTCAGCATCGGCGACCACAGACAGACCATGAATTTCTGCAAACCATAAATCATGACGTGCCTGAATGTCAAGCCCAGTCGCCAGCAGACGTCTGAGCCGGTCCCGGGCGACTCTGATGCGCTCCGACTGCTTGGCCGGGGGCGTCGAGGCCTTGAGCTCGCCCGTGCTGAGGTCAAAGAAGGGAAACAGCGAGCTTTGCCCCTGTTCCACGGCAGTCTTGTCAACGTACGTCTCGGGAAGCCGCAGGAACAGGTCCTGGGGCAGGAGTGATTGCAGCGCCGGGAGCGACCAGTGCAGCGTCAACCCCCAGCCAAGACCACGCGTCGTCAAATCACCGTCCCGCTCGAAAATTTGGAACGGAACCCCCGTCTTCCGCAGGTACTGGGCGAGAAGCAGCCCGCTGACGCCGGCGCCCGCAATGAGGACTGGCTTCATGGTTTGCTGGGGGCCGCCGTCTGCCATTTTCCTCGCTGTTGCATCGGTTTTCGAGGTGGTTAAGCGCGCACCTGTCTCGAAAGAAAAAGCAGTCCTTGAATTTGCAATTGCCAGTCGTGGTCAGATCCGATCATCCGATGGCGTGAATGAATTGGGTTGCAATCATCGGAATTCAGCAGGGGCAATACTACTCCAGGGGTTTGGGCAGGGCAAGCGTCCATTAAATGATGCAGCGAGCGACCCTAAGGACTACTACATACGGTAACTGGGTGGTACGGAGTACCTGCGTTAACGTTATCACAGCACTGCAGTTCAAGCAGACTTACACCAAGTGGAGCGATTGCTGGCCTGATTGCGGGGCTTCACGTTGCCCCTAACCCTGGGATTCCCTCGTTGTTTGCAGTTGAATCAACTGGCAGCTACAGCGTTGCAATCAGGGCGGCGCTCCTTACAGCTCGCAGCCTTTGGTGGTCACTTGGACCCAGTACTGTACTGCCCGTATACATTGTCTTGGTCCATCCATCATATTTGTAGATATATCTCCGAAATCAACACCCCTTCTTCACTGCGTAGGTATTACTATTTGGCCTCGCACAAGACCTATCCTTGTTAGCCATACATCCAATCTACCAAGAAGAATCGTCATCGCTATCCGAAGACTCCGGACGATCAGCACCACCCTTCTCATTCTCACCATCACCCTCCCCATCAACTGAGTTCGACTCGGAGGCGCCGTCCTCCTCCAGGCCCACAATTGTCTCAAAGCCCTTTTCCACAAAGGTATGTCCAACATGGATTGTGTTCTTCGACTTGTAACACTTGAAGCAGAGGTCGAAGTCGTTGCAATCCTGACAGTCATAATATTCGCCCCATACATACTGTGCAGTTCAGTGCATCATCGTCAGCGCTATATATTGGACGAGAAGAGAGCGACGAATGGACCAACAGTGCGGGGAAATAGGCGGGGATCGGTATTTCTTACCAGTAAACAGGCATCACAGTAACACCCCTCTCTCTTCTCCCCCTTTTTCGTCACCCTTTCCTTCGGATCAGTTTGCGGCTTCGGCGTAAGGAGCTCCTTGATCTCGTCGCTGGCCTCGTGGTAAACCGCCACCTCAAGTGGAGTCCACGTGCGTCCCATGCCTTCGCCGACAACGGACGGATCAGCGCCCAGATCGAGAAGCTTCTTGACGATATCCAGGTGGGAGTCCTTGGGCTTTCCCATACGGCCGTAGGGGGGTCGCGCTGCCCAGAGGAGCGGCGTCCAGCCGTCATTGTCCTTGTCCTCCAGCCCGACCTTGACTAAGGGCAAAAGCTTCTCAATCATCTCGATGCTTCCGGACGTGGCCGCGTAGTGCAGGGCAGTTCTGCCCATCTTGTCCTTGACGCTAAAATCCGCGCCCGCCTCAAGCAGAATGTTGATATGCTCCGGCGTCTGCATGGCGGCGAAGTGCACGGCCTGTCGCCCAGTTTCGTCAGCATTGTCAGTCGCTGCGCCGTTGTCAAGCAGAAACCGGACTGTGCTAGGCCGGCATCGCAAGCAGGCCACGTTCAGCGCCGTACCAAACAGGCCTGCGACAATGTTCAGGCCGGCCTTGGCTTCCTTGACGAGATGCGTGACGATTGCTGCGCGGTCCTCGCTTTCAGGTTCGTCGCCAAGGTAATAGCATGCCGTTTGCAGCGGCGTGCCGGGCTTCTCCGGGTCGAGGAAATCGACGTCGGCGCCGCTTTGGAGCAGGAACTTGACCAGACCTAGATCGGCCTCTTGGCAGGCGATGTGAAGGGGGCTCCCGTACCCCGGGACAGGCACCGCCAGGTCGGCGCCCTTGCTGACCAGGTATTCCACAACCGGCGCATTGTTGTTGAGTATCGCCGTGCACAAGGGGGTAAACTTGTAGTTGTCCCGAACTTCGATGCTCATTCCGCGGTTGACGAGTCGCCTCACAAGCGAAACTGGCGTGGTTCGGCCAATGTAGTCCAGCGCAGCGCGTCCTTTATGGTCTCGTATGTCGAGATTGACATTGTACTCGAGCAGAAGAGCAACCATGTCTTCATGATTCTGGTTCATGGCTTCATGGAGCACTCCAGTCTTGTCTGACTCTTTCTGGGTATTGATGTCCGCCCCGGCTTCCAAAAGAAGCTTGGCCACCTCGAAGGCTTTGCGGTGAACGGCAGCCCTAAGCGGTGTAAACCCGTCGTCTTCCCAGTTCCCATCAGGTGACGTGAACCTGGCCTCTAGATTAGGCTTGTATCCGAGAAGCGCGGCAACGCTGCTGCTGTGAGCGCGCCAGGCAGCCCAATACAGCGGTTTCCCATCTTTGGAATCGGCCTCGATATCAGCGTCGTTCTCAAGAAGAACTCTGACAACATCTGGGTATGCGATGGCGGCGTGGAGTGGCGACCATCCGCGAACGTTCTCCGCGTAGTTCACAGCTGCCCCTGCGCCGGTGAGTAACCTCATCATCTCTGCGGAGCCTCTTTCTGCCGCATAGTAAGTTGCAGTGACATGGCTCCCGTCGTTCTTCTCTCTGTTGACGTCGGCCTTCCTTTCGACCAGATACCGGGCAATTTCCAACTTATCATGACGAACCGCGGCCATCAGCGCGGTGTCCCCGTCCTTTTGCTTGTTGATGTCTACCCCGCGCTCCAGAAGAAACTCGATGAGTTGAAGCTTCTCGTTTGTAGAACAGCCGCTTTGCACAGCATGCACAATAACTGGGCAACAATCATCCAGGTTGTTGATATCAGCGCCACGGTCGAGGAGGAGACGACAAGTTTCCAGGTGGCCGTTCAGCGAAGCCCACCCCAGAGCATTTCCTGTATTGTTCGAGACATTGGCGTCAACCCCATAGTCCAAGAGTGCCGCAAGACACTTGATGTGCCCCCCTGATGCGACTTCCACAGCCCCAACCATCTCAGTGTCCACAACGCTTTTGTCTGCGCCGGCGGCAATCAACTGTCTAACCACCGCATAATGGCCTGCCACTGCCGCAGAACGAAGCGGAATACCATCTTCATTCTCTTGGAAGTCTACCTCTGCTCCATGTTGGATGAGAAGGGCGACAATATCGGGGTCTCCTTGTCTTGAGGCGGTATTAAGAAGGTGACTTTTCCGTAGGATATGCTCAGGCTCCAAGTCAGTGTGTCGTAGAAGTAACTCGACCAGTTCGGTGTGGCTTCTGGCAACTGCAAAGTCAAGGGGTCTCCAATTGTAGTAAGGTCCTGTAACCCCGTACATTGAGTCCGCAGCAGCACCAGCCTCAAGAGCCAACTTCACAAGGTCCGTCAATCCGAGCCAAGTTATCCGACATAAGAATGCAGGAGGCCATTCGAAACTGGGATGCTGAGACATGATGTGGTGCATCAGGTCCGAGAGAACCGACACTTCTCCAGATCGAGCGGCTGTTTCTAGCAAGGCTTGAAGGTCATACAATTTCCAACCCAAGGTCGCCGTGCCCAGCAGGGTCCGAACGAGGCGTGGCTGGCCAAGCTGTACTGCTGTAAGCAGCGAGGTGGAGGTGGGTGCGTCTTTCTGCTCCTCGACGCTATATGCTGCGAGCCAAGCCGACAAGAATGGTGGATCAGGATCGGATGAGGGTGCCACCGCCGGCCAATAAGCTGCGGTGGGATATTTGACATAAAGCTGTTTAACAATGGAGGGGACATGAAGCTCTTGGTCGTTCTTGGCTTGGGATGGGTGATTGCCGGTAGTAGCTCGGTCCCCGTGCGCTGGATAGAAGCGAATTGCGTAGGAGAGGAAGTCGTCGGCTCCATCGATACAGTCCTCAAGTGGGGAGATACTCTCACGGTTCATAAGTCGACCTAACCGCTCCTGAACCTCCTTGGTCTCGAGATAGTGAAGACACGATCGGGCGATGTCACGGTGACAACGAGTAGCTGGGATCTTGTAGACGGTCTTCAAGATCTTAGCAAGATATTCCCGGGCGTCAGGGCTTTCAAAGTGTAGCTCGTCGTTCTTGAAGACCAGCAATGGACCGAAACATTCTTGAATGTCAGATAGCAGGCTTGTATCTCCAACGGCCGCGACTTGAGGGAAGCTGGTGCGGTTTTGGGGTGAGGCTCGGCAAGAAAGAGCAGTGGCTAACTCCCTGCTGCGCAGAGGCCTGAAAGAATAGAGCGCCCACTCCAGGATTTCCGAAACAAATGCGTGCCGAACTAGGCCAAGAACCCCAACTCCAAATCCCTTGAGTGACCGGGCATATGCTGCCGGGTCCTCTATGAATTGTGTCGGGCTAGATGAAACCTCATTTGCCTGATCGAGGTCAATCGTGGGACACCCCTCCAGAATACTTTTGATATCCGGACCAGCCGATGAGTTCGATGTAGTCGTGATGATTATCTTGAGCTTTTGTTCGGAGCGGTTCATCTCCTTCAGGATATCCGATAGGAATATGTTCCGTGACTCATCGCATTCGTCCAGTCCGTCAACAACAAATATTTGCTCCCAGCCGATCCCGGTCCTGATTCGCAAATCGTTAAAGGTTGCCCATGCATCCTTGTCCGTCCAGCTCTCAGCAAACGGGGGAGGTCGCACACCAAGGGCCATAAGCGGTGTCATCTGAGTACGCCACTGGAGGAGATCATTCAAAAACGCTGTGGCCATCTTGCTGAGACAGTTTTTGCGAACGTCATGGGTACTGAACCTAAAGTAGTATACGGATCGGCTTGCGACCCAAGGACGAGTTATCATCCCTTCCAGGACGCGGAATAGATATTGTGAGCATTCGGAAACGTTGGTTCGGCCGTGTACGTGCAATATGCCTGTTCTCGGTCCCTTGAGCCATTGGAGGAATTCGGGATGGTTGTCGATCCAAGAGAAGACTGGTTGTAGACAGGGGGTGATAGTCACCGCGAGAGAAGGGGGGGCCTTGTGTTTGATTTCTCTTTTCTCAACGGCCTCCAGGAATTCCGGGTTCAAGCGCTGATCTGCCGACAGTACCAGGCAAGGCAATTAGCGAGCTGGGCTGACAAGCCTGAATAACGCCGCAATCTTACCAGCAAAGGCATTCTTGAGAACCGTTTCAAGCCTATTGTTGTAGAAGGTCCCAAGACTACCTAGCGAGGGAAGCTCCGCGTGTGGCAGGTTAGATGCCATCCTTGATTCCATGGGAATATCAAGCGTCGCCATAAACCTATCGAAAACCTAGAGCTGATAGTCAGCATACGGTATGTCGACATTCATGGGGGTGGGGAGGATTTGCCTGTTGTTCTTGATCCTGGTTTTCTGAAAAGACATTTGCGACGACAGTCTGGGCGAGGCTCTTGCTGTGAAAGAAGTCATCATTGATCTTGCGAATAGCACGGGCAAGCCCTGTCGCTTTGTCTATGATTGTAGAAGGCCGCTGATGATGGGGTCCAGTCGCCATTAACCTGACAATGCTCTTCTCCAGCTCCCGTGGAGTGACAGATCGATGAGGACAACCAAAGAATATCTCAAGGAGAGCATCAAATCATAGTCAGCACCACATGGCCATCGGAGTCTCCGGTGGACGCTACTAACCAGGCCACGTGTCGAGGAATCTATTCTTGTGAACCGTTCCGGGTCATGTTTTGCTTGTCGGAGAGCCTAATTCAAATTCGGGTTGTTAATACAAGCGTCCATGCTCTTTCTGGCATGGAAATCCTTATTCACCTACCTCCTTCACAATAATCCCCCCGATGTCATGGGTAATAAAGACGATTGGCACCTCACTCTTAGGCTAGGCTTGACGTTAGCCGTTGAACCGTCATGTCACTTTAGTGTCGCGGGACATGAGGCATACCCCGTTTCGCAGCTCGACAAGGCTCACCAGGAGCTTGGTCGCCTCGTCTCTGATGCCTTCATAGGTGAAGACTGTAGATTCATGTCCCGAGCTGTATCCATACTGCACAATGCGCGCCCAGACTCTGTCAAAGATACACTTTTCTAACCAGGATGAGCCGTTAACTATCCAGGTACCCTCTCTGGAGCCGTACAGGCCGTGAACAGAGACCACACTGACAGAATGTTAGCTTATTAAGTGCAGGATATAGGTGGGGGGACATGCTCGACGTGTGTTTTTTCTGTTTCCTTGAAGACATTTAAGCCCAAGGAGTCCGATGAAGCCGCAGGTTGTGCCATCGAAGTCTCTTGTGCCTCCCGAGGACACTGCTGCGTCGTGATGAGTGGCGATGACTGGATTCTGGGGTTTGGCTTGGTTCAGGTTCACCGCGCGAGTTCCTTCGGGCGCATGATTGATGAGATGTGGATGGATGAATTGAATGGACGGGTGAACGCATGGACGGCCGAGCTGAGCTAGGTGCTGACTGCTGAGTGAGTTCCCTAACGTTACCTGCCTAAGCGAGACGCAGTTGCCGGCCAGTGCCACGGATACAGCAGGTCACCAACAGGCTCCCCCTGTCCCGAGGCATTTGTAGCCCAACATTGGGGTAGATCTAACCAAAGCCAAAGCTGAAAGGGCAGGGGGAATGCAACATGGTAAAAAGTAAAAACCTCTACGGAGTACACCCGACAGTACGTAGATGAATGTGCTGGTGTTTTGCTTGATTGGAAGATGAGTGCAGGTTCAAGTTCGAGGGGCCGAGCCGAAAATACAGAAGACCCCGTGCAGTTGCTCATTCCTCTCTTATTATGATGCCCAAGAATTTAACCTGCTACTAACGGTAGCTCATTGTCAATCATTCCGTGTCAAGAAAGATGCCGTGCATTTCTTTCCAACACACCTAACCAACTCTCTTAGTCGCACTTTCAAGGATAGTCGAATGAGTAATGTCGGACAATGAATCGATATCGAGCGAACCCAAAGCCAACTCGTCCCATACCCGCAGGTTGTTGGTCGAGGCCAGCGTGGGATCAAACAGGACCGGGTCGTCGGGCGGTGTCGACCCGAGCAGGTTTCTCAGCGATGTTTGCCAGTCTGTCTTGGCCTTGATGGTGAAATCGCACTTGAAAGGCTCTTCGTCCTCGCGATAGAGGAGGATGGCAGCTCTCATGCACGAGGGAATCCCCGTCTTGGTCATGCGGTTTTCCATCAAGGTCCAAGAAGCGCTGTTCTTCTTGCCCCAGGTGCGACCTAGAGTGTCGATAGACCCGATCACGGTGGCTGCATCGCTGACTGTCTTGGTGACTGCCTTGGACCACGTCCACGATACTCCCAAATCAACCGGCAGAGATGCGGCCGAACCTGCAGAGAGTTCGGTCGCATGCGTCGTGACCTCCTCCTGGTTTGAGGGCACAAGGCTGAGGCGGCCAATGGGCGAAATACGGGCGACTTCGGGGTCGGAGCCGCTATCGCTGGAGAATCGGAGCTCAATATCGGCCGACAGAATACGGCGTCCATGCTTACGCGGGTCGAAGCGGAACTCCAGCACCAACAGTGTGCAGAAGACAGGCTGCTCCTGAGCGAGCAGTCCATGGACAATGTCAAGGCATGATGCGCGGATGTCAACCTCCTTCTTGCGTTCGGTCCAGTTCTTTCGTTGTAATGGGTCAGATGGGTCGTTTTTGAAGTGATATGCGCTCCCCTGGTCACCAACGGGAGCCAGTCCGATATCCAGCGAGAAGGCAGCCTGCCCCTCAGTCGAGTCTGTCTCCTGAAACGCCGAATCACTTAGTGGTGGTGAAAGCTCCATGACGGAAATTCCTGGACTGTGGACAAAAGGAGTATTAATTGGCTCATGCCACCGACGGTAGAGGGTCAGTCATGACAGACGGGGCTGTCGGGCATCCACTACAGACTGCTGGTGACAGAGAGCATTCATATCACAGTAACCCCGCTAACGATGGGGGGGGTGAAAAAAGGCTTGTCGAGTTAGGAGGGGGGCGTGAGGGAAGCGTTGAGGGCCGAATTGGATTAGTGCATCCAATGGTGTGTGATTTTGCTTACTACGACCTGAGATAATGTCAGCGCTAGGAGTTTCAGGGGTGCAAGGGGGTGAAGAAGGCTGCCGTTCAGCCCCTCCATTCCCGCTTTCCATGAGCGAGCGGTGCTAAGCACTCTGACACAAACACGAAGTAGTCTACCTGCCTACCTCACCTTAGCCGGATGAGGTTCATAGACAATCATCAATCGAGACAGCAGCCGGCACCAATTCAAACACACCTTCGAAGATCTCTCTCGCAACAATGTCCACACCTCGGCCCGAGGACTGGGGCAACGACTCGGACAATGAGTCCAACTCGGAATCCGAGTCGGTCAGGCAGGTCTTTGACGAGATTCTCAAGAAGCTCGACGGGAACCAGTTTACTCTTGATGATGACGGCGCACAAGCCTTCCAGAGAGAATACGGCAGCTTCGTGAGGCGAAAGGAGGATGGCCGCAACCTCCTACACACGCTCGCAGCTGCTCCTATACACAAGGAGGCTCACCAGTGGCTGATGAAGATGTTAATCAGGGAGCAGCCGCAGCTTATGAAGGAAAAGGACGGCCTCAAGCGCACACCGCTCTACATAGCCATCACCCGCAGAAAAAAGGCAAAGTCTGTGGTCAAGACCATGTGGGAGATGCTGGATGAGCTCGGCCGAGACACCTTTGACGAGCTCCTAGCCATGAGGTTTGAGGAGAACCAGAACTGCATCCATGCCGCCATACTGAAGGGCCTTTATCCGACAGCCATTATACATCTCGTTGAGGCTGCCAAGGAGGAGACACTGTGTGCTCAGGACACTAAGGGGAGAACACCGCTCCATTTGGCCGTCGAATATTCGCGGTGCACCGGCGAGCAGCTGAACGTTGTCAAAACTCTCATCGAAATGGGGGACAAGGCACTAGACAAGTTTACCCGTGAGCCCGACAACTACTCTGTCTTCGAGTACCACAACTATACCCGTCTAGCGCAAAGGGCCAGCGTTGAGATCACAAAGCCCAGCGAGCCAAGACAGACGAGGCTTACGGCTGCTTCGGGCGGGGTCGGCTTGCGTGAGACCTCCGGAATCTCGGCAGCATCGAAGGACTCGTCGTGGCTTGTCGTCCATAAGGATGAGGCCAAGAATCAGCCAAAAGCCCGAGAATCTGACAGAACAACTGGGCACAGTGCTGCTGACAGATCCCATGACAAGTCCTCTCAGCCTTCGAGACCGGACTCTTCACGAACTCCTGGGACGGCGACTCCTGTCGAGCCAGCACCGGGCATTCCGCGAAGGCAAACCGCAAGCCTGGCAAAGTTGGAACCTCGTGAAAGCGACAGTGCTAAAACCGTGACAGCTGAGACTGCCGATGCTATCAGAGACGAACTCAGGTTGCATTATCTCCGCACAACATTCAACCACAGGAACCACGACAAGGCCGTCCGGTTTTTATTTGGGCTGAACACAGGTCAGCTCGGCCCCTTCCACCATGCTTGATTTTGAATGATGAGGTGGTTGGACTAACTTCAGTACCTTCGCCCCAAAAGATCTGCAAATTTTCTTCGACTTCTCGAAGCGACCAGAGCCGATCCAGAAGAGCGAATTCCTCGAAAGCTTCGAGCACATCAAGTTCTACGATGTTCTCCAACATGTTTCCTTCAATCCCATCTACCTTTTGCCTTCAGCCCAAGTGAGGCCAAACTCTCGCTTTGCCCACGCGCTCTCGGGGAACAAAGTGGGTCGCGGACGGAACGAGTTCGAGTCCATCGCCCAGTGGCTGAAGGGCAAGGGGGTAAAGCGAGTTTTCAAAATCACGGTAATCGATGATCCCGAGCGACCTCACAGCGATGAATCGATCGAAAAATCGCTCAAGGACTTTGACGTAGAGATTTTGGACTGGCGCAAAACCGACCTATGTCCAGAACTCCTGAAAAGGGCGTGCAAGAACGTAACGCGATTGTATCTTCAGTGGAGTGGCAACAACACGACGCTGAGGGCATGGAGCGAGCCCGAAGGATTGCCAGAACTGACGAAGCTGGAAGTGGTGCATTTACAGGTCAATGAGGTGGGTAGTAGACACACCCCGTCACCTGTCATCATCCATGACGAGCGGCTTCCAATCATTCCCCCCATTCTCTGACCACATTTTCCAATATCAGGGCTTGGAATCACAAGCAAGGACATTCGACAACATTCAAGCCTTCGAGAAGCGGCTGCGGCAAAAGCAAAAAGACATCCGTGTCTTCCTCAACAGTGATGGTGATGGAGGATTCGAACGGCTCGTCACGCCGAGTGAACAAAGAGCTGCACTGGTGGGCACGATGGGCCGCGACTTGCAATCTCACAGGTGGCTCGACTGCATGAATGCCTTTGCCGATCTGATCCAAAACGTGGAGCTTCGCACAGACGAGCCAGAGCTCAAGGACCCCATCATCGTTGCCCTGATAGACGACGGCGTCAACAACTGCCATCCCGCTCTCCGGAGCAAGATTCACGGCGGGGTGTCGTTCCACCGGGGGCTCGGGGACAACATGCCTGTCCCCTACTACGTCACAAGCACCGGTCATGGCACCGTCATGGCCACCATGATAACGCGAATCTGCCCAACGGCAAAGCTACAAGTCCTGAAGCTCGACACGTACCAGTCAGAAGACGGCGTCCCTCAAATCACGGCCAAGAGCGCGGCGCAGGCCGTCGAGGCCGCCGTGGCGCGCAAAGTGCACATCATCTCCATGTCGTGGACCATCCAGGAGACGCCCGAAAACGGCGACGACATCCGGCGGCTCGACAAGGCGCTGCGCACTGCCTACGACAACAACATCATCATGTTCTGCTCGGCCAGCGACCGGGGCGCGCATCCGGACCTCGACTACCCGGCGCGCTTCAACGTCAAGAACATTTTCCGCATCGGAGCCGCCACGGCCGACGGACGCGTGTGGCCCATGGCCGGCGATCCCATCAACATGGACTTCATCCTGCCCGGGCACAACGTCTTTGACCGGCGGGGGTCGTACCTGGATAGCAACCTGCTCGAGAACTTCCAGCCGCGGACGGGCTCCTCGGTGGCGACGGCGCTGGCGGCCGGGCTTGCTGCGCTCGTCATGCACTGCGCCCGCGTGGCCGCCATTCACACGAAAAACCAAGGGTGGGCGGACAGCACCACGGCCCGAGCCGGCGTGTCGCTGGAGCGCTACCTCAAGCTGAGGAGCCACGAGGCCATGCGGGCCGCTCTCAAGGGGATAGGGACCAGTGATGAGGGCCAGCACAAGTTCATCGAGGTTTGGAACAAGTTTGACCATGCGACTGAGAAACTGAGAAAGGCCGCCATCCCGGAGGAGAAGTTGGAGTATTTGGCTGCGGTTCTGGGACCGGGTTTGCTTGCGCCTTTGGACCCTTGACAGGGGGATCTCTGGTGCAGATGGATTCTGGTTGGGGAAGTTGGCGTTCCTTAAGTAGCCTGCGACGACATCTTTTTGCTGCATTTCTTTTCCAGCAAACTCCGAGTCGCAGGAGCATTCAGAGGACACTCGGGACAGTACTCAGAGTACGAAGTACTGTATGGGGCAGTATCGGATCATCATCGCCCGGCTGACGAGAATCCTGTCACGGCCTAGATTGGACATCGCCCGCGTCGACACCCCGGCCTATTATACTCATATCCGACGGTGATGCGGCAGAAAAGTACCCGACCTTATCTCATTATTATCGGTCTCACCGAGCGACCGCTTCGGCGAAATGGAGTCGACAAGGCGAGGTCGTCCTGGCGAAGGCTTCGACACCAATCATAGCACAATTCTGGCCAGATTGTCAGTGCTTATCGTTGACAAAACGTGGACGCAGCTCTGGGCAAGGCTGGGCAAAGCTGGGCATTGCGGGGAAGCTTGAAAGAAACGGCCGAAAATGGGTCCGCTGGAACTTACAGGTGGAGGCGCACTCACACTGTGGATTAGCGGTTAGTATAGGGGCTGCGGTTGGCACTGGGTTGCTCTTGCCCAGCTGCAGAGCCAAGGCATCCTGTGCTGCTTCCTGGGATCACCTGCTGAGAATGCCACCGATTGGCACCACCCATTACACACAGGATTTACTTTGGTCTGGATTGGGCAGGTCAACAAACGCTTGGCTATGTGCCAAGCACCCAGACCAAGCCGACATCAGAAAGATGCCCCGTGATAAACCGATTGCTCGGTTCAATGCTGGCTGTGGCAATGGTCGGTTTCTGTCCAACGCTATATTAAAAAATATAAAGTCTTAGATCGTTCCGCTGCGCTTTGTGCAACACCTGCTCGGGCGCGAGTCAAAGTGACGTTTTTCGACTTGAGTTGGTCGTTGCCAACACCAACATCATCATCATGTCAAGCGAGAAAACTCACGGGGTGGATACTGGCGCCGCCGAGCGCCAAACGTCAAACAGCTCGCAAACTGAGCATCAGGCCGAGGAGGTTCACGAGAAAAAGCCATGGTGGCACTCGCTCATCGAGGCGGGCTCCGCCACGCAAATCGTCATTGCCGCTGTGCTTGCCATCGCCATCGGTGTCGCTGTCACTTCGACCGTTGAGGATGTCCCCCCGGCAGCCGTCACGCTCGTCGGCATTCCTGGCAGGCTGTGGTTGCGTGCACTGAGAGCTTGCGGTAAGTCCCAGTGCTACTCTGCTGATCCATGAGACCCTTAGTTAACGTATCTTCGTTTTGCCATTGCGCAGTGCTCCCCTTGATCGTCACTGCAATTGTTCTCGCCGTGCAACGGTTGCAGAAAATGTCGGGTGACGGCGGACAGAAGCTGGCCAGGGTTACCATCATCTACTACGTCGCTACCACGCTGCTGGCCATCGTCATCAGCACAATCTTGACGGATCTCGTTTGGGGGCGGCTGATGCAGAGGGCTGAAGGGTCCAGCCTCGCAGTGGACGCAGACGATGCGGAAACGTACCAGGAGCGGCAAGAGGTGGACATCCACGAGGTGGTGCAGGACATGTTCGACTCGCTGATTCCGCAAAACGTGGTCGACTCGCTGGCCAAGGACGCCTTGCTCGGCATTCTCGTGACTGCCGTGGTGATCGGCTACCTCCTCAAGCCAACCTCCCACATTGTGCGAGCTCTGGAGGAGATTGAGGACTTGATCACGAAAATCATCACCTTCCTCATCAAGATTGCGCCCATCGGCGTATTTTTCTTGATCCTGCCCAACCTCTTCCGCCTCGACATCCGAAACATTGGTTACAACCTCGGCATCCTCATCGGCGGCGGCGTCACCAACATGGCCATCCATCTCTTCATCGCCCTGCCCATCGTCTTCTTCGCATTGACGCGCAAGAACCCCTACACATACTGGTTCAAGTGCTCGCCGGCCTGGCTGACCGCGTGGGGTTCCGCCTCGTCGGCCGCGACGCTGCCCGTGACCATGAAGTGCGTCGCGGCGCGGGGCGTACCCATGACGGTCAACAAGTTCAGCGTGCCGCTGGGCTGCCTGGTCAACATGGACGGGACAGCCATCTACTTCCCGCTGTGCGTCGTCTTCCTGGCCGAGACGCAGGGCATCCGGCTGACGCCCGCCGACTACACCATTGTGTGCCTGCTGTCGACGCTGGCCTCGATCGGCACGACGCCCATCCCCAGCTCGTCCCTGGTCCTGACCGTCATGATCGCGCAGAGCGTCAACGTCCCCATCACGGGCATGTACGGCGTCATCATTGCCATCGACTGGTTCCTGGACCGCTTCCGCACCGCCGTCAACGTCAGCGGCGATATGTTTGCCGCGTCTGTCATCACCAAGCTCACGGGCATCCAGGACCCTCCCGAGGAGGACGGCATAGTGGGCGAGGTTACCGACAACAGCCAGCGGGTATGAGGATGATGATTTGTTAGAGTGTAGTGAGCCTGGATAGTAGGTTGTCTAGTTTGATTGATATGACTTATGGTATCATTGTCAATATCCGCACCGCTTGGTGTTAGACCCGCTCCATTGCCTCCTGAGACCTGACTTGAACTACAGTAGTATATCTCCTCACTCATCCTAGCAGTGTGCTTGAGGCGCTCGAGATTGCTAGTGTCAAGAGAGATGAAATCTTAGTTTTAAGGTAAAAATACTCGGAGATCCAAAGAATGATTTGCCGCAAGTATAAGAAAGGTAGCCGACCCTTCAGGTTGACAGAATCAGCAAAGACTAACTCACTAACAAGGAAGTCGGTACCAGATAAGGGGGCATCAGCCCTCAGGAATCACGCTTTTCCCGATTAGTTCCTGCAGATTTTGCCTTGGGGTACCCTGGGTGGGAAGAGGGGATGCCTAACGCCCCAACTCGCAGACCGAGAATAGAAGGGCGCTACAACAAGAGGTCCTACCTGCATGGAGGTCCGGAGCAGCGGCGGCGCAGCGCTTTGAACGAGACGCATACAGCTCGTTGTCCGCATTGTCGTACCGTTGATCTGCCTTTCGTAGACTCACTGCATCCTGGCCGCCGGCATCATGCTCTCCCGCCATGGGCTGCCACAGCCTATCAGGAACTTTGAGCCCCCACCAACTCCGACTTCAAGCGACGTATCCGCAGGTGTGTCAGGGGTCTGCAGAGGCTGCGCACGAGACATCTTCAACGCATCGCTGTGTCGGGACCTGACATGGATCGCATCGCACCCTTCAGCAACTTCACTTTCTTATGCAGTATCTTACGGGAGGCTGGCCCGCGATATATATGCGTCGACTCTCGACGGTTGTCACTGGTGTAAGGTGGTTGGAAACGCGATTCTCACCAACTCCGAGCTCGAGTACTGGATGCGGGACTGGAACGGGTCTCGCTCCGACGGCGCCAGTCTTTTCTCTTCCAGTAACGACGGGAAGGAGGTAGAATCCGAGCAGAACCAAGAGGACGGAGCAGCAGAGAATGAAGACGTTAACGCAGAAGATGAGAGCGAGGAGGATGAGGACCCAGACGATGGGACGAATCACGGTGGTTTCCTCTCTATGGAATCGCTCGACTGCACTGCGGAAGCAGATATCACGGTCGAATTCTTGAGGTACCCCGGCAGCCAGCTCTTCAATCTCGTCAAAGTGACTGTTGAGGTGGTCCCGTCGGGCCAAGGCGACTGCTCCCTCCAGGAGATGACGGTTGGCGACGGCGCTGTGGTCATGACCCTGGAAGTTATATGTGAAGGCATGAACAAGCCGTCCCCCTTTCATACTAGTGCTAACGTGAAAGAGAAAGACATCACCCAGGCTGCCCCAATATTCGAAGGTAAATGGGCTGCCGTTTCTGCAGCCGATCTGAATGACTGGGCACCACACGCTGAGTCCTGGCTTCAGCACTGTAACGACAACGATGGTGCATCTTGCGCTGCCAGTGGCACTTTCCAGGCCACACGACTGATCGATGTGCGTGATCCCAATCACCCGCGGCTTGCCATCTCCGCCGATGATGCCCAAGATGGTGCCCACAAATATGCCGTCCTCAGCTACGTCTGGGGCCCGAAGCAGGACTACATCCTCACCAAAGCGACCATCAGCGAGCTGTGCAGGGGGTTAGATCTGTCGAGGACTCCACGTACGATTTCGGACGCGATCGGAGTGGCACATCGCCTCGGCTTCCACTACCTCTGGGTTGACGCCTTGTGCATTATACAGGACTCGGCCGAGGACAAAGCGAAAGAGCTGCCGCGTATGGCGGACGTATACAAGGAAAGCTCGCTTTGCATCGTGGCAGCTAGCGCCGCAGCAGCCTCAGAAGGGTTTCTCAAACCGCCTAGTCCTCCACGGTATCTTGTTGAGCCTTTCCAGATCAGTTTGGACTCCCCTGACGGCTCCTCGGCGACCCTAACCTTTGCGTATCGTGCTCCGTACATGGCCTCCGCGGACCCAATCAGCTCCCGGGCCTGGACCTTACAGGAGCGCGTTCTTTCCAAGCGTTTACTTCTCTTCGGACGAAGCGGGGTGATGTGGATGTGCCGAGAGCGCTCCATCAACCCCGGAGCGGCCCCCGACGCCGGTCCTCCCTATCAGACTTCTCTTGGACCCAACATGAAGGAGAATGAAAGCAGCGATGAGCATGACCAAGCCGAAATTATGGATCGGTGGATGGCTATCCGCGCCGACTATAGCGAGATGGATCTCACATACTGCGCTGATAAATTGCTCGCCATATCCGCCCTCGCAACCGAGGTAGGGCATCGAACGGGGTGGAAGTACCTTGCGGGGATGTGGGAGCACAACTTATTCTCGGAGCTGCATTGGAGGTCTACCAAGCGCAGTCCCTCGGGTGAGGACCTTATCCTCAAGCCTGAAAAGGTGAGAAAGGCAGGATTCATTGCGCCGAGTTGGAGCTGGGCAAGCATCGGCCTCGGTGGCATTGTTGACAGCGAAGGCGAGCGCAGCGATCGCGAGGCTTTTGACTTGACGATTCTCGAGTGCCACGTCGATACTGATCCAACTTTCCCGTTCGGGCCCGTAACGGGAGGGTTTCTCAAAGTTCAGGCCAGGGCAGTGGAGTTAGCATGGAGACCTGCGGAGGACACTGAGCCGATGTGGGATATTTCGTTGGTCGATGAACAGGATTTGACCAGTGTCGGCACTCCATATATTGTGGGCGACGGGTCACTAGACCCTCTGGACGAGCATCTCGATCCCGCTTTGAAGCTCATCTGTCTTGGAATGAGCAAGATCAAGCTCGGTCGGCAGCGGATCCAGCCTGTTGAAGGGTTGCTCCTGCTCCCTGGCGAGTCAGTTGGTGGCACTTTCCACCGCATCGGCTTCTTTCGCATGAACGCGCCCTCGATCTTTGATGGGGCGATGGTGAAAACCTTTATAATTGAGTAATCATTAAGGTTCAAGTCCAACGATGGAATCCTTCCACGTGTGGCAGTGTCCCTAATTTCTGGAAACTTCACCCAGGTCGGGCACAGGTGACAGGAGCAGTACAGTGACTGTTGTGTAACGTACCTTATGTACTATTGTACTTGTACTATGTACTCAAACTCGAGGCATGTCCCTCTGACACTGTTGTTCTTTCCCTTCCAGTTCAGTTTCGTTTCATACATACAGTAGTAGCGAGGGGCTTCCTTTCCTTCTCAAGTTCTCATGACAGTAGTAGTGTATACACTTGCGATCGACATTCTGCCTTTCGTTATCTCATACTCAGACGTTTTTTCTGGGCGTTCCAGTACAGGATGACTGAAATCTGGCCCGTGCGGGTAATGGTACATGGCTGGCCCCACTTTATTGCTGAACGCCCAGAAAAAACGGTTGGCTTGTAGGGAGTATATGGCTCATTTGATTGGCTGAATCAGGCCCGTAAGTCACTGTGGGGCCAATACCGCGCAATACACTGGTCTGAGTCCCTGAGATAAGCCTTTCGTGCAGGCAGCCTACGACCTCTACCTGACGTACTATCCGTAGTACGTAGGCCGATTGGGCCAAGCCTTGGTCGACACTCGCTTCTGTCTGCCATTGGCTTCGCTTCTTCGCTTCGATGCGAGCCTGTGGCTCAGCTCTCTGGAAGCAAAACCTTGCCTTTCGCACAACTGCAATTGATGACTCAGCAAGCACGGACCAGGTCCTTGCCCGAAGTTTCGCCGGCCAAGGCCGTGTTCCCGTTCCCGGAGTGGGACCGGCTCCGTAACGGCTGCAAACGGCGCCGGCGACGGAGGCAGGGAGGCGTCAAATGCTAGTGTAGGCGACGGTCTCAAAACCGACGCAGTCCACGTTCCCCGATGCCTCCTCGAGCCGCCTTCTCGTCCAAGCGATGTGGATACCCATCTGCTATGGGACGAACTCCGGACTGCCAGGTATGCTGTTTGCAAAAAAGTGTAACTTGAAAGAGGACCCCTTGCGCCCCTTCTCAATGCGTTGGGCTTTGTCTTACTGGGTGCGTAGAAATTGCTTGCTGACGCCTCCTGGTATCTCTGCATTGACGTAGTCGATACGTGCGTTATTTTGTGACTGGTCTGGACGGGACAGGGAGATCGGCCCTGCGGACCAAGGGGAGGGGCATGACAAGCAGACCGACCAAATTTAGGAAACTACGAGAGGTAGGGTGTCGTGGAGGAAAGATGGGGGGTTCTTGATTGCTCCGGCGGAGGAAAGCTCGGAGGGAGCCGACGGGCGGCACGGGCCGATCCACGGCGCGAGGGACATCTGCCTAGCTTCCGCCGGTCGAGCTTGTCCTCACACCGTGATGTCATCGAATCTCCAAGAGCGGGACATTGAACTCGGTGCGGTACGCTGCGCAGGTCTCGGTGGGGCGCGTCGGCATTGGTCGGCGGCAGCGCCCTTTGCGGGCAGAGAGAACGGAGGCGACTGCGTACGCTTCGTTAGCTCGGCTTGCCAACCTGAACGCACAACACCATGGTCAGGTACCTGGTCAGGTACCTGGATCCGTTACCCTCCCGTCCCTCCGTTTCGAGAAGCTTTCCACACCACGCGAGATCGATGCGTCGGGGACAGTCACGAATGGCGATTGTTTCGTTCCCAGCACACGCGTGCTGCTCGCTCTTCTGCGCTCGTTGGAACAGTGCACGGCCGAGGCATTTCGTCAGCGTACCACCATTCGCGCCGCTGGCCGACTCGTTTGCTATAGGAACACGCTGCGACCGCGATGTTGCAGCCCAATCAGGGGCGTCGAAAACGATTGGCTGCGGCTGTGTCGCTGGGCGGGCGCTAGTTACGCCTCGGACCGAGTGGAAGCTTGCGGCATTCAGCTCGCCTCAACCCCGCCTTTCCTTGCGCGAACAGCGCGCTCTGTTCGGAGACGACAAGATACAGCAGCTAACCGGTTCGGCCACGGCGTGATGATCCACGCATTAATTACTTGGGCTCGCCCTTCCTAGCTGATCCGGTAGCGCGCTCGAAATGACGTATAGATTCTGGCATTGGCGAGCGAATCGCCGGCGCAAGCGTGATCCGCCGCAAGAAACAAGCCGAAATCCGACTCCGTCCAATCCTCCGTCAGACGCCAACACGGACCCTAGTCCGTTCGAGAGTCCCCCGATCCCCTCTTTTCCAGACGGAGTGAAGGTCCTGCATGACTGCCCTGACGCCGCCGTCGACATCTGCTTTGTCCACGGTTTGACCGGGAACCGGGAGAGTACCTGGACCGCTCGTGGGCAGTCCGCGCCCTGGCCGAAGACCCTCCTCCCG